CCCGCTCACGCCGGGCACTGCAGGCTGCAGTAGTCGGCGGATTTGAAGAAGCCGTAAACGTTGACGAGGGGGAACATGAGAACGGCCCCGAGGAGGGAGCCCAGCTGCTCCATGGCCCCGTACCACACCAGCGCGCTGTGGCTGCGGCTCCGCAGGATCACCCCGGCCATCACCTTCACGTAGGAGAGCGTCCCGGTGAAGAGCACCCAGGAGAGCACCTGGGTACAGGAGGAGAGCGGTCAGCGGGGCAGGGGACAATGCGGCGATGCCAGAGCACAGCGACGGCCCCACAGACTGTCCCCGGGTGAGAGGGAGCACCACAACTTACAATGATGGCGTCACCCCACTGGGACTGCTGCAGGAGAGGGCAGGGGCTCATCACCGCGATGGCCATGTTGTAGGCACCAAAGCCCGTCCCCGCCACCGTGAGGGTGCCCAGCAGGGCCAAGGACCTGCAAGGGACACACCGGTGATGCAGGGAGCGCTGCCAGCCCGGCCCCATCACCCAGCACGGCCACTCGCCGCAGCGGGAGAGGCCAGATCCACGTCACAGGCAGTGGGTCCGGTCTTTCCAGTTGGGTGAGCTGTGTGCTGACCCCATCCTCCTATCTTGGTCATCTCTGCTTGCCCAGCAGAAGGCCGATGGTTTGCTGACCCCGTTGGTCTGGGGACCCCCGAGGACTTCAACCCACTTGGCTTCTCCCCCTGGCCACCCCCATTGGGCTGCGCTTGGGGCAGAACCAGCCTGGAAATGCCCTGTGCTGTCGTGGGGGCCAGACCCCCGGGGACCCTGCGACCCACCTGCTGGGCAGGAACATGGCAATGATGCAGGCGAGGGGGTTCGCCATGGAGCTGAGCGTGGCAGAGAGGTGGTAGGCCGTGCTGCCGTAGGGCAGGCAGGAGTAGGACTGCACGGACGGCAGGACCCCGTTCGTCAGAGAGCTCACCCAGACTATGAGGAAGTAGATGAAGGCAAGCTTGGCCAGAGAGTAGGAGATCTTCTCTGGCCGGGCCTCCCCAGGCTGCTTGATTTCCTCCGGGCATGGGCAGACTTCTCTACACCTGGAGCCAGCTCCGTCCTCGGGAGCCTGATCACATGAGCTCAGAATGATGCTGCCGGGAAACAAGTGCTGCTGCGAGAGCTCCCACATCTTGGGCTGCCTGCTGAGAAGGAAGAAGGCCACCAAGCAGGCCAGCATCATTACAGTCATGAGGAGGAAGAAGACGAGGGTGGAGAAGTTGGCTGGGAGGTAGCGGGTCTCCATTTGGAAGACACTGCCCTCCGTAGTTTCATTGCCAGAGGTGATGTTGACCACATGGGTGACGTTGACACAGTTGGAAATGCCAGAGCCCTGGCCCAGTGCGATGAGAGAAGGAATCAGCCCACTGAGCCCTTCACCTATGAAGAAGCTGGTCAGATACTGGGGTTGCAGCTGCATCATGAAGGGCAGGAAGGTGACGGAGGAGGTGCAGTCCACAAGGGACAGGAAGAAGGTGAGGACCAGGAACGCGGTGCTGTGGGGCACCCCAGCAATGGGAGATGTGTAACTCCACAGGAAGGCCAGGAGCAGACAGGCCAGGACACCCGTGGACACGATCACGTAGATAACAGCCACCTCCTTGAGCAAGCCGGGCCTGAAGCGGTGCATGAGGGTGACAAAGAGCGGCCCCACATTGGCCATCTGGATGATGATGGTGATGTAGGAGGGCAGGTCCCATTGCTCAGGCAGCACCGTCACCAGCAGCGGGAGCTCGACCCACAGCCCGTTGATGGCAACCCAGGAGCCTGTGCCGAAGATGCAGGCCAGCAGGTGGGTGAGCAGTGCCATGGCTCACGGCCGGGCGCCGTGCTGCAGAGGAGAGCGGGAGAGAAGCTTGGCTCAGCGACAGGGTGGCTCTGCTCTGGGCACAGCTCGGCCCCCCACAACCAGCCAGGCCCTATTCCCGGCCTCCTGTGAACGCAGCCTGTGCTTCCCCTCCCGCATCTTCTCTCTGAAATGCCGTGTGGGTGCAGGACGTGCTGGC